CTCACAAGCACAGTAGATGTCTGTGAAATAACTGGCTAGATGTAATGCAAGCACCACACAGCAGGCATGGGGCTTCCGCGGAGCATGGCGGCTTCATGGTGAGGTTGCTGCAGCCTCAGTCTTCTTCTGTTTAGGCCTCCTGATCTTATAAGCCCAGTAACCCCAGATCCTAGAACTGTGGTTCCTTGACTGCAGGGCTGTGGGGTTTTACCCAATAGGCTATGGTCCCTAGCACAGCGCTTTGGAAAAGTGGATTGGGTAATTAGAATTAATGCCTTTTTTGTTGACATTGCCAACTATGAAACTGAGTTTTTTCTGCCTCAGTTGCCTAAGGGGTAGGCTAGGACTGGGTGGGGTTGGTCATGGGTGGAGGCCTTCTGGGTGATTTAGGGCAGGTGAGTTAACAACTTGAACCACACATGTGAGGTGGAGAAATGCATGGGGATGTTAAAAACGATTAAACGGCACTTTGCAAACAATGACAACACCACTTTGGGGCTGACAAGTAGGATGGGGAAAGTTGAGTGTCGTATAACCCAAAGAACTGTTAAGAAAAATATTTATGGAACTAGTCAGACCTGGTAGTTCCCCATAAGTAAGGCAAAGGTGGCAGGTGGGTGGGTTGTAGTGGGAGGTGTCCCAGATCAGACCAGGTGGGCCTTGCTGAGGTGGCGGGGCAGGGGCGATCATGGTGGGTGGAGTATTGAGGAGTGGCCGCAGGTGAAATCCCATCAAGACGGTCACCATTACAATGTCACTTCTTGAACCCTAAAGTTATATTAATATCTAAGCCTGAGTTGGCTTTATAGTTAACAATATTGAGTATGTCTGATTCCAAAAGAACAAAGGTTTTGGGGGCAAATGTTCTCTAATTGGTGTGAGCAAAAGGCTCACTTGTAGGGGTGGCTAGGTTGCATGTTTGAAATGCAGATTTCTAAGGCTTCATCCGGAACTTTCTGATTTAGACAATCTAGGGTAGTGATGCTGAGCCAAGGGCGATTTTGTCCCTCAGGGGACATTCGGCAATATCTGGAAATGAGTTTTCATTGCCGCAACAAAAGCCTGGGATGCTCCTAAACATCCTACATTGAACAGGACCGCCCTTTCTAACAAATAATTGTCAGACCCTCAATGTCAGTAGGGCTTGGGTTAGAAAATCTTGTTCTAGGGCCAGAGCCAGGTATGTGCATCTTAACAGGGGCCTCAGGAGATTTTAATGCAGGAAGCAAAAGCTTTACACAATGTCTGTCTTTTTGATACAAGGGCTTCAATATCAGAGTTCCCTTCTTGCCCACCCTTTTGTCATATTTAGGACTCAGCTTTGACTTACCTTGAAGCCCCGTCTGGTAAGCATCCTTCCTTTCACAAAGTTCAGGGTAATTGCCCCTTCTAAGAACACCTTCATCACACTTATAACCAACTGATCTTCAACAAAGCATATAAAAACACTAAGTTGGGGAAAGGACACTCTATTCCAGTGGTCCCCAATGTTTTTGGCACCAGAGACCAGTTTCATGGAAGACGGGTTTTCCACGGATCAGGGCGGGGTGGATGGTGTGGGGATAAAACTGTTTGACCTCAGGTCATTAGGCATTAGATTCTCGTAAGGAGTGTGCAGCCTAGGTCTCTTGCATTCACGGTACACTACACAGTTGGAGCTCCCATGAGAATCCAATGCCCCTCCTGATCTGACAAGAGGTGGAGCTCTGGCTGTAATGCTTGCTCACCTGCTGTTCACCTCCTGCTGTGCCACCTGGTTCCCAACAGACCACAGACAGGTACTAGTCCATGGCTCAGGGGTTCAGGACCCCTGCCCTATTCAATAAATGGTGCTGGGAAAATTGGATAGCCACATGTAGAAGAATGAAACTATCTCTGTTTCTGACCATATGCAAAAATTAACTCAAGATATATTAAAGAGTTTAAATATAAGACCTGACACCATAAATATTGTAGAAGAATACCTAGGAAAAATTTTTCTGGACATAGGCTTAGGCAAAGAATTTATGACTAAGCCCTCAAAAGCAAATGCAGCAAAAACAAAAATAAATAAACGGGACCCAATTAAACTAAAAACTTCTACACAGCAAAAGAAACAATCATCAGAGTAAACAGACAGAATTGGTGAAAATATTTGCAAACTACACATCTGACAAAGGACTAATATTGAGAATCTACAAGGAACTCAAACACATCAACAAGAAAAAAATAATAATCTCATTAAAAAGTGGACAAATGACATGAATAGACATTTCTCAAAAGAAGATAGACAAATGGCCAACAAACATAATGAAAAAATGCACAACATCAATAATCATCAGGTAAACACGAATTAAAACTGCAGTAATATATCACTGTACCCTAGCCAGAATGGCCATTATCAAAAAGTCAAGAACAACAGATATTGGTGTGGATGTGGGGAAAAGGGAACTCTTATACACTGTTGGTGGGAATGTAAATTAGTGCAACCTCTATGGAAAACAGTACGGAGATTTCTTAAGGAACTAAAAGTAGATCTACCATTTGATCCAGCAATCCCACCACCGGGTATCTACCCAAAGGAAAAGAAGTCATTATGTCAAAAAGACATCTGCACGTGTGTATTTATTGCAGCACAACTGCAAAGATATGAAATCAACGTAAGTGCCCATCAACTAATGAGTGTATAAAGCAAATGTGGTGTGTGCGTGTATGTGTGTGTGTATACACACAAATGTACATATATATATACATATAAATACACTATGGAATACTACTCAGCCATAGAAAAGAACAAAACAATGTCTTTTGCAGCAACTTGGGTAGAGCTGAAGGCCATTATTCTAGGTAAAGTAACTCAGGAATTGAAAACCAAATACTGCATATTGTTGTTTATAAGTAGAAGCTAACGCATGGGTCCACAAAGGCATACAGAGAGGTATCGTAGGCGTTGGCAACTCGGAAGGGAGGAGGATGGGAAGGGAGTGAGGAATGAAAAACTACCTGTTGGGTGCAATGTACACTACTCATGCGATGGGTGCACTAAAATCCCAGACTTCACTGCGCAATTCGTCCATGTAACCAAAAACCACTTTAACCCCTAAAGCTATTGAAATTAAAAGAAAGAAAGCAGGAAGGAAGGGAAGGGAAAAAAGGAAGGAAGGAAGGAGAAAGAGAAGGAAAGAAGGAGAAAGAGAGAGAAAGAAAAAGAAAGAAAGAAAAAGAGAAAGACGTCTAGTCCCAGCCTGCATTAAATGCCCTCAATTGCTTTTCCCTCTCACTAGAAGGAGCACTCCTTGAGGGCAGGGTCTAGGTTCATCCTGTTCACAGACCTGTCCCCAACACCTCAAAAGGTGCCTGGCCGATAGCAGAACTCAATAATCACATGCTCACTTCAATCTCTCTGCACTCAAATGCCATCTCCTACATTGAATCTAGAGCTACGCACCCCCTTAGACACTATTACGGTACTCAGTTTAACATCTTTATGGAGCGAGTCACTCAAAGTATCCTGTTTATTTGTTTGCTTCCTTTTCATTCACTCAACAAATATTTTAGTGGGCACTTACCATATGTCTTATGCTTTGCCAACACTTAGGGATACAACAGAACAAAGAGGCAAAAATTATTCCTCCCATTGGAGCTTACATTCAAGACGGGAACTCGTACAGTAAACAAAATAGAAAACCGTCTATAACCTGTGCGACACTGATCAGCTCGCTGGGGAATAATGAAGTGGAGAAATGGGACAGGGAGTGTGTGTGTGTGTGTGTGTGTGTGTGTGTGTGTGTGTGTGATATTTTAAGTGAGGTAGACCTCTAGGAGAAGGAGAATGTAAGCAAAGACTGGATAGCTGGGGCCACTTGTCTGCGCTCCCCCATTAGAATGTAAATACCAACAGGGCCACCACTTTCCCTTTCTATGTGGCCTCTGTGTCTCCAGAATAGGCACATAGTAGGTGCTCAACAAATACTCTTCAAAGGAAACAAAAAGAGGAATATTATACCGTAAAGTAGGCAGAAGGGAGATTTTTATTTTTATGACCACCCATTGATTAGCGAGAAGGTGGGAGGAACAGGGGCACTAAACTGAAGCGGGTGTGGGGAGGACATTCTGAGGCATCAGGTTAAGACTTAGAGGATGCAGGTCCTCACCACATAAGGTCCCCTCCCCCCTTTCCCCGCCCCGAACAAACCTAAGTTCTCCCTCTCCCAATATTGTGCATGGTACTTGCTGCTCAGCCAACCTGGCCCCTGAACCTCCCTCCCAGCCTCCCAGCTTCAGAGTTCAGACATCATCACCCGGCCTCCTTTTTTTCTCTCCCGCACCCCCTTCCCTCCTCACCTCTTTTCCCCCCGCCTCCGCCCCTTCCTCCTCCCGGAGGGGTGTCCCCGCGCCCGGTGGGCACGCCCTCACCCCGGCGGAGCCCGGGCGCACGGAGGGGCCTGGGCCGGCGCGCCCGGGCCCCCGCCCCCAACCCCTCTCCCCGGCGGGACGCTGTCCCTTTAATAGGCTCCCGCTGCCTGGCGCTCTGCGGCTGGGGAGTAAATTTCTCCCTGTCATCAGGTCGCGGGGAGAGGAGGAGGAGGAGGAGTTTGTTAATGTTCAGTTTGTTCAGCGGGATCGATGTTTGCTGGCATCGCCTCGCCCTGTCTTGTGTGTGCGAGGGTGTGTGTGTGTGTTTGTGTGTGTGTGTGCCTATGTGGGGGGTGTGAGTGTGTGTGTGCGAGGAAGCGGGGGTGCGTGCGCGTGTGAGTGCGTGTGTGAGTGTGTCTGTGTGTGTGTCTGTGTGTGTGTGCGTGTGTGAGTGAGTGGATTCCAGATTTTCTGTCTTTCCAAAACCCGCTCCTGTCCTCTCGCATATCACTCACAGACGGGGATCTGACAGCAGCCACAAACCTACAGTGAGTGATCGCTCTCCCCCCGGCACGAATCCGCCATAGAGATCATCGAGGAGGAGGAGGAGGAGGAAGAGAAGAAGGAGGAGGTGGAGGAGGAGGTGGAGGAGGAGGAGGAGGAGGGAAAGAGGAGAAGGAAGAAGAAGAAAAAGAAGAAGAAACCCACTACCTTCCCAGGATTGCCTTTTTTTTCCTTATCTTTACGCGCGAGTGTGCGTGAGGCGCGTGTGCGCCCCTCGTCCCTTCCATCCGAACCCGATCTTGGATGTTTAATAAAGAAATCAAGTGTCTCAACAGTCACCAAAAAAAAACGCAAAAACAAAACAAAAAAAAAAATCCAAAAGCAAAAACAAAAAGAGAGAGAGAGGAAAAAAAAAATCCAAAACAAACAAACAAACAAGGCAGAACCAACCTCTACTTGAAAGCAGCCGGCACAAGCCACCCGTGTCTGCCACCCAGAGAGGGGGGTCTCTGGCCCGTGCTGGAGGAGTTGCAGGGGGGATCGTCAGGGGGACAGAGGCCGAGTGACGTCCTAGGAGCCACCGGGCAAGAGGCGGAGGAGACCCAGAGAGGCCAGAGAGACAGCGGGCCCCGGCGCGCGGCTCGGGGCTGGGGCGCCAGAAGTGGGACTGGAGCGAAGTAGAGGATGCCGAGGAGAAAACAGCAGGCACCCAAGCGGGCGGCAGGTAAGAGAAACGGCTCTGCTTCGGGGCTGCCCTGCGCGCCGCGCTCCTCGCCCGCCCTCTTTGCCCCTGGGTGCCCAGGGGGCACCACCCACTTAAGCTTTCGGGGGAGTTTGCGCCGGGTGCCCCTCTAGTAACCCGTCCTCTCTCGCGCCTTCTCTGGTCTCCCAATTCCTCCCCTTCCAAGCTCCGGTTGGGTTGGGGGGAGCTATCCCACCAAGCCTTTCCTCCTTAAACTTTTTTTCCTCCACACTCTACCCCTCCCCTAACTTTCTCCCAGTCTATTTCTTGCCTCTCGGGCCATAGTCGGGTTGAGGATTTGGGGTGCGGAGTAGGGAGACAGCCCCTCCACCTCCGCATCCCTCAGTGTGGTCAGCGCCAGTGGCTTCTGGCCTCCAGGGACAGCGTCTCCTCTCACTGGGGCTTGGGCGCTGAAGGGTGAGGCATACCCAACACCCGGGCTGCACGCAGGCTTTGGGGCAAGCAATAGGAGTTTAGCGTTCATCACCAAGGTGGACAAAATGCCCCAGGAAAAGGGTGAATCTTTGCGTATGCTGTTCAAAAGGATCCATATTGGGAAATCTAATTAACAATTTCCCTACTTTTAATAAAGTGGGGAAGGTAGTAAATGCCCCATAGAAATTTAAACAGCTCCGGATTTTCTTTGCCCAGAGAGTTGCAAACTTTGTGAAATGATTTGTACCATAAGAACTATCCCATCTGAACCCTTTCTTATTCCTCCACAAACAAGATAGGAACAGGTTAATGGATCAGTACAATAGACCTAAGGTGTTTTTTTTTTCCCCCCTTTGGGTTGCTTAATTGCTTTTTTAATAGTATGCTGGGGTTTTGTTTCTCGGAAGTGTAATATGAAAGTTCATTTTTCTTCTGCCAGACCCACCCACTGAAAAATCAGCTTTCCACTTGATTGCTAGTTTTGATTTGACATTTGATTGATCACCTGTCATCTCGCTGCCTTTGATCTATTCATTCTTGATATATATCAATAAATCACTCACCATGGTAACTCAGAGTGCCAGTGACGCAAACCTTGCCCTCTATATTCAGAGCCAGACATGCACAATTATTATCTTGTTTGACTTTTAATGTGGACGTTTTTATTTCTTTGTGTCCTTTAGTTGAATCAGGGCTTTCGCAAAAAGCTTGTTTAATTGTTTTTTTCTTCTCTCTCTGTCTTTGCCCTCTTGATTTAGGCAGCATTAGGTAAGGCTGCTCTTCTGCAGACGCACCTCCGAATTTCATTCTGTTCCAGCTCTAGCAAAACATAGGGAGAAGTTTGGTGGAACACTTTCATAAACTTTACAAAGTCACCCTTAGAACAAATCCAAAGCTAGTTAGAAATCTGAAGAGAGTGGGTCCCTTGTCTGAATGTGCCAAATGACCACGCTCATCCTCCTTCCTCGCCTGATTCAAGCCCAAATAGCAATATAGGTGTTTTGAAATATCCACAATTATTATTCCTTCTGAGCACAGAATTGCTTCCCTAACTATTTGTAAGTTGGTTCGAGTGTCATGTGGAAGTATTGATACAGTGTGGATTCATATTTTCCGATTGTTTCCCTAAAAGCAAAATAATTAAAATATTTTTAGTGACATATATATTTGGAACTTGCCTCATCAGTGAAGTTTTCTTTTTTTGACTCTGGTCACTTTCTATAAAAACAATGTCTCTTTCCTACCTTTGTCTCTTTCTGCATTTAACTCACTTATTTCCTAAAACTTAGGCTGCTTTGCAATCTGACAGCGTGTGGATGTGTGCAATGGCCTTTGAGACCCAGGAAGAGCGAGACTGCTGCATCTAGTTCTGGCAACATAAGTTTAAGTGTAACTACATTATTAGAGATAACGTTCTTATTGTTGTTCCAAAAGAGAACCCTGGGCTACAGTCCAGCAAGAATTGATACTGCCCTGAAAATTACTCTTTTTTTTTCTCCTTGTTGTTCCGGTAAAGACTATCAACAACTAGGCAGTAATTTAAATTACCAGAATGACTGGACATGTCTCCTTTAGTAAGCTCATTACAAAAAGTGCATTGCTCAGAATTGCTCAACTTTGATTATAATTATCCTCTGATCGATAAGGATCCAGGTGTACGTAACATAATGCTGTATCACATTATTTAAATTAGATTCTTTTCATTAAGCTGTATCTGTTGGTGCTGGCTAGTTTATTGGTATGTGTGTAGGGGGGGTGTGTGTTAGAAACTTGCAACTATAGTTTCAGTTTTCTGGCCCGTTATATTCCTACTGTCTTTGTATGTTTGTTTTGTATCATTCTTATTATTTTCACCAGAAGAAGTGGAAACCCTTTTTAAGCTGAAAAAGGATAATTCATTTCGTACACAGTGAGGGCCGTCTTACCTTGTTTATTTGCTCAAATATTAATAAAGGAGATAGATTTTCATGCAGTGCTTCTTCCGTTCATCTGAGGTCATCAATGCCCTACTCTATTTCAGCTGAAGTGGTTATTCACAAGTAAAGTTAGCCACTATGGGGTTCTGTAGCTAGTTAACATCCAGGAAAGGGGAAAAGGTGACTTCTAAGATTATGACCATACTAACTTTTATCACTGCTTAAAATTAAACACAATGCACAACTGTAAGTAATTACACCCAAGGACTGATGTTGAAAGCTTGATTTCTAGCTTGATTAATGAATAATGGGAGATAGAAAAAGCCTGTGAGTGGATCAGAGCTGAGGCTCTCCGGAGTGCTCTTTTTCCCAAGAACTGTTCCAGGCAATTTGATTCCTTTGTATCATTAGTTTTAAGTTCTATGTTTCAAGGAATCAATTACAGAACTTTCTACTAAAGCAGGTATCTAAATAGAATAAACAGAATGATATTGTAAGCGATGAAGAATTTTAGTCTTTATTTGTTATAGTCCTCCCCCTTCAGGGGGAAGGGATGTGAGGGGACAATTCTCTTTAAGGAAACAGCTAAATCAGAGTATCTTCCTCTGAAATGTCATTCTTCCTGGCTTTCTTAAGCTATGCTATTCCACCATACTATTACTTAGGGCAAGAAAAAAAAGTTGAGAAAGCAGCCTACCATACCCCAGGGGTTTGTGTTGTGTGTGCTTGCTTGCTTTCTTAGATGTATATTTCACTCACCATTAAAACGCATTCACTATTACCTGAAAATATTGCAGGATTCAGTACCAGCATTTTTCTCCTGTATGCATTTGAGGGAAGATACAGAAAATAGCAGGAAAGTAAAATAAAGCAGAATGGGGTTTTGATTTGTTCGCATTTTGCAGGATGCAGCGTGGTTAAAAATGTAAGACTGTAGACTTACAGTCTAACTCTTGATTCTCTACAGCCTATCTCAGTCTCTGTGTGCACACATGTATAATGGTATTTTATTTCACCATCCTGAACTGTTTTTATATTAATGACAGTCAATTGCAATAGAATACAAAGTCTTTTGTGAGCACATCTTATGAATATATAATATGTATGGAAGTTATAAGATTCGGCCCCTGCCCACCCAAAGCGATTAGATGTTTCCTTCTTGCTGACTCTCAGAGGCTTTCCGATCAACCAGATCTGAGGAGAGTTTTGCAAGAAAGAACAGCTCCCTCAATTTATTTTGTTTATTTAATATGGAGATGAATAATGCAGATTTTGTTTTCATGAATGTCCTTGTGTGGCAGTAAACATTAGACTATTAGCAATCATTACTTAAAAGTTGCAATTTGCACCTTAATAGCACAGGTTATTTACATGGGAAACAGTCAGCAGGGACAACTCTGAACACTGCAACAGAGCAGAAATGACCTCGGAGATCTCTTTTCCCCCTCACGATAGTGGCGACTCTGAAATAATGGGTGAGGTCTCAGAAATCTCAACCAACAGAATGGAGGGAGGAGGCAGATAGCTCAGGGTGAAGTTTAACTTTAATTTACTGTCTAATGGGTCAGGATTCAAGAGACTAGGAATCAGGTAGATTTGGGACCCTGGCTCTCTCACTTTGTTTAAATATCCTTCAGAAAGACAAGTTCCCATCTTGAACACTTAAATATCGCATGCTATGGATTCCTTCACTTGTCCAAAAGTATGATTTTAACAAATGAATGGAATAACACGCATGCACACACACACACACACACACACACACACGCACGCAATAAACCCCAAAGGGTCACAGCAGCACAAACTCTTTTGGCTTCTGGCCATTCTTGTTACGTAAGGCAGATCTCTGAAAAAGGAATAGATACCTTGAAATCACTTGGTCCACACAACATTTTGGACTGAAATTGATTTGCTTAAGTGGTCCTTTCCCCACTCCCATCCTGATTTCCTCCTTCCATCTCTCACCTCACCCTTAAAGACTCGCATTGAATAGGACGTCTCAAAAGCCCATTTGTTTTAGGCATTTATTGATTTCATTTTTAATCTGCCATATCAGGACACAATACGTTAACCCTAATCAGCAGATTGCAAGTGACGGAGAGAGTTCTAGTGGAAACTGTAAGGGAGCAAGGGGATCTGGGAAACTTCTTGACAATGAAAATCTTCTCTGAGGCTTGAGAGTTTGGATGTTGAAGGCTACTTTTGGGGAGGGTAGAAACGTTCCTCAGAAACAGTCTACATTTTTTTCTTCCGCTTTATATTTCCTTATCTCCCACTTGCTCATTCTATTGCTACCCTTTGGGAATGCTTAGCACCCAACAAATACCTCCCAAGTACCTTCGGCAGGTCTGTTCCTGAAGCAGCTTGATTTGGGGCATATTCTTCAATGGAGGTTTATGCTTTCATTTCATCCCAGCTGATTTCTCATTCATTTGATGGAATTTCTCCAAAGGATAATACCTGAATTGATCTGTCTCTCTTCCCAGGGCCTTGGGAATTGTGCTCTCCATTGAGCAGGTTTTGGCGATTGGGGGGTAGGGGAAAGGGTACAGACTGAGCCTGGCATTTTTTAAAGCCACTGAAATGATGCCTCTCTGTTCATCACTGCAGTTGAGCTTAGGAAGTCAACCA